GAGTATCCAGTCAGCAGCGTCATTGATGGGGAATTTGCAAGCGTGCTGTGTGGCCGGGAGACGATGCATGAGCACTCTTCTTGTGAGTCGATGCGTTCGCGGAACAAGTCAAGTTCATTCCGCTCTTTGATTCTTCGTAGTGCGTCTTTATGGGCTTTCTGAGCTGTAGAAGGTTGTTCAGAGAGGCCGTCACTTCGGTTGGTTTCACAGGCAGCAAAAAGAAAAGCTATACGCCTGCGGCGTAAATCGCGATCCCGTAAATCGCATTCGTGGTGGAATTACTCTCTAGTACATGCCCACTTTATAACGTGTCGACTGAAGGTTCTCTTGGTGTAATATGTCGAACAGAAAACGTCGTCGATACGATTGGGATGCGTTGGGTTGAGATGAACTAGGCGGTCGGGAGGAGATAGTCGCAACCAAAGCTGACATCCAGCGCTACAAATTTTCGATGCCTTGTCATCTTCGATGGGAAGCGACAACTTTGCCCAACGTTGGTCTGAACCAAGTTGAGGTCAGCAAACGTTCGCAGACGGTGTGGCAAAAAATGTCTTCAAAATCGAGCGGTAGTAAGTTAATAAGTCGGTGTTCCTAGCGTCTCACCTGTAATGCGTGGACACCTTGTTGATATAGACGGCAAAATCGGTCAACTAGCCCTTGACCACTGGTAGCCTCGATGTGCTCACGGCGGGACACCCATCCATGGATCATCTTCCTTGTGCTCTCTCGCTCGGTGGCAGTGGAGTTAGCACAGTAGGTGTCGAGAAAGGAACTCATGCCAATCTCAGACACTTGATTATCGCTTCAAGTCGGTGTTTGTAGTCTACTGTCTTGTTCTTGTACAGCTTTGGCACGGCCTTGCGCCCGTACTTGAAAGCCGGGCGACCAGGAGACTTCCGTCTCGCGATGACTGTATCAGCATTGTCGGCCACGGCATTCAGAGTGACCACAGGTGTGCTTGTAGCTCTCCGCGCCAAACACACCTCCGAAAAATAATGTCACCTCTATAAATGGATATTATATTAATCTAGAGAGTATATATTTGATATAAGAGGTATGTATGCGCAGGTTGAGCGCGAAGTGACTTCTGTGCAACTTGATATTCGTGTGCAGGCAAATCTATTCTTTCTTGGAGGAGTCCAGAATATAAGAGGTGTCTCGAATAATATACGCTACACGGTATAAGTCTAAGTCAAACACATTCATGTCAGGACTCCGGGAAGGCTGGGCGTACAGTATATCCCAGCTGGCCGGCAGTAACCACAGCAGCGTTTTGGACACGAACGTGAGATCTTGCGTTGTCTTGTTGTACCATATGGTCTTGGATTTGCAGCCCGGCAACAACAACTGTATTGCTGTAACAACTTTATCAACCAGGAATGTCCGATAACCTTTCTTGGTGACCACCACTGGGCTCAGTGATGCCGTCTCCACGCCAAAGCACTCGAGGTGCCAAGACGTACAGGCCAAAGCTGGCACCAGCAGCGTCATGTGCTGCTGGCCATCGAAGGAGACAAGAAACGAAATAAGGTAGAACCAGGAGGTAGGTACATGAGGAGTTCCCAGACCCACCTGGTCTCATTGACTTCTTAAACTACATTCGTGACAATGAACGAGCACTAACAACTACTCACATGATCACATGGATCAAGTTGAACCAGAGAGATTGGCTCCTGGGCTACCTCGCAACAAAAATACCACAACCGCATACAACTCGCTGCTCCGGCTGTTCCAGCGCTTTTGCCAGCGCCATGGATTCTCTCGCCAACGCCAAACTAAAAGCAAGCTTAAACAAAGCGTCCTCAACGAGACTCACCAGCAATTCGCTGCCGACTTTCACCGCGAATATGCCTCCTACGACAAGAATTGTGTGTACAACGTTGACGAAACCGGGATGCACTATGACCTCCCTCCGACGTACATTTGGGCTGTCAAGGGTGGCAGTTCGAAGATATCCTGCGGCGAAAGCACTCCATGCGATTGACAGGTGTCCTCACGGTCACACCTGACGGCGGCAAGCTTCCTCTCATGATTATTATATAGGGCAAGCCCGGCGGTCGCATTAAGAACGAAGAATTCCCATCCTTTCCCGCTGGTCACTACTACGCTGTTCAGGACAATGCCTGGATGGACAGGCGAGTCTGGGCACAGTACCTTCGTGACGTCTTGGGCGAGCGCATCGAGGGCCCGTCTGTCGTCCTTGTGGACAATTTCGATGCTCATGTGTCCGGTGAGTCATATAAGATCATGTATGACGAATTGGGTACGCACTTGTGCCCTCTGCCCCCGAACTCAACGTCCGTCTGCCAGCCTCTTGACGTCGGTGTGATGGCTCCATTCAAGAGGAGCCTTCAAAACCTGTGGCTTTATGAGGAACAAGTGGTTGGAGACGATGAGGATCCCTACTCTCTTTCGGCGAAACAAAAGCGAATGGCCATGGTGAAACGTACGGTTGCTGCCTGCGACTTGAGCACTGAAGACATCATTCGCCAATGCTTTGCAAAGGCCATCCCACAATGAATGGTTGTAATTCGATGTATTTTTGCAAATTTATTTTGCATACTAAACCAAGGTAATTATGAAGTTTTTACCAAAAAAGTTCGACGTGCCCGCGACTCGAACCCGGGGCTCACTCAAGACACACAACGTGTTTTACCACTGCGCTATCGCCTCAAACGCTTACGCTTACAACGTGACCATTGTATCAAATAAAGAAAAGTTCGAACGTCCTGTATCTTCTAATGA